GGCTGCTCCCGGCCACCGCAGCCTCAACCTGCTGGGCTCCGGTGATCCTTCCGCCTCAACCTTCCAAGTAGCTGGAACTACAGGCACGCACTTCCACACCCGGCTAGTTTTTTGATGTATTGTGAGATGAGGTCTCACCAAGTTGCCCTGGCGGGTCTCGAACCCACGGGCTCAGGCAATTCACTCACCTCAGCCTCCCAAGGTATGGAATTACAGGCTGAGCCACCGAGCCCAGCTTGCTCCTTATCTTAATTGTGGCAATGGTTTCATAGAGCAAGCATGTGCAAAAACTAATCCAACTATATTCTTTCATTTACCTGCAGTTTAGCAGACTTATCCACAGAAACAATTAAGGCTAGGAGAGCTTGGAGCCCAATCTTCAAAGTTCTCAAAGACAAACAATTCAACCAAGAATTACCTACCCAGCTAAATTAAGCTTCATCAGTGATGGAGAATCAAAATCTTTCCAAGACATTCGATCCCTAAGAGCTTAGGCTGCCTCCAGGCCAGCTCTACAAGAAACACTTAAGAAAGTATTAAACACAGAAGAAGGGAAAAAAAGAACGACAACGCCCTTCCCAAGAATGTAGGAAAGAGATTGAAAACACACATGAATCAACCCAAAAATCAAAAGAGAGACAACAAACAAACAGCAACAAAACAAACTCTATAAGAACCTCATGGCAGGGATAAACTCTCATATCTCAATAATTAGCCTGAATGTGAATGGACTAAATGCACCAGTGAAAAGACACAGAATGGCAAAATGAATAATATATCATGAGGTAACAATATATTCTCTCCAAGAGACTCATCTCACAGGAAAGGACACTCACAGATTCAAAGTCAGAGGATGGAAAACAAAATTTCAGGCAAATGGAACACAAAAGAAAGCAGGAGTCATGATCTTAATATCAGACAAAATACCCTTTCAGTTATCAAAAATTAAAAGATAGGGAAGGCCACTATATAATGATAAAAGGTTCAATCCATCAACAAGAAATATATATCCTAAATATATATGCATTCAACATAGGAGCACCAAATTTCATAAAGCAGCTTCTAGGTAAACTTAAAAAAGATATTGATCCCAACAATATCTCATAGCTGGGAACCTATATACCCCACTCACAACTCTAGACAGATCATCAAGACAAAAAATCAACAAGGAGATCTGGAACCTCAACGTGACGCTTAACTGTTACCTAAAAAACACTTCACCCAACAAACATGGAATATACATT